CGGCACCCCCAAAAAAAGCAATGGCCATTTTTTGTTCCTGGTGTTCAAAGGRCACTTGTGTCCCTGGCTCTGGGTGACGGACAGAGCACAGAAGCCCTCTTTTGCCACCTTGGAAAGGTTTGGGAAGCGGGAGGGATGTCGAGGCCGGCCTCTCCCCATTAACAGATGGACAAACTGAGGACTCGCTCTGCCCCGGGGAAGGCAGGAGCCTGGCTGGGGAACCTTGGGCAAGCGTCTCCCACGTCCCCACGTCCACGTCCCCACGTCGGCTGCTGTTACATCACACCTTTCTGGGAAGTGTCCCCTGTCCCCGAGGACAGTCAGGTCAGAGTGTCCTTGGGAGCCAGGTGGGGCTGTGACGGGTGTTTTCACAGCTGGGGGTGGGCGCTGTCCCCTGGCCTCCCTGGTTGGCAGGCAGCGCTGGTGTCTTTGATTAGCTCAGGTCTCAGAGTCCTGGGTCCATTCCCCCGGGCTGGCACTGCCACCCAGCTGTGTGACCTCAGGGTGGTCACCTCACGGCCCTGGCTTCCTTCCTTGGAGATGGGGACAAAGACACGGCCAGGCATTGCCAGGTTAGAGGCTGGGCCTTAGCGAGGCACTGAGGCCAGCAGCTGTGCCTGTCCCCATCTTTTTCCTTGCCCCCCCACTGTCCCGGACTTTGGGGTCCCCCTTGGTGCTCAGCAGTCCTTCCTACCTGCTCCCCGCTGTGCCTGGGCTGGAGCTCTGGGGCGCTCTGCAGCCAGGCGGCCTGGTCTCTCCCCAGTGGGGCCACAGCAGCCCAGAACGGGCTATACTGCCTCCTGCCTGCTCCCCGCAGCCTCCAACCACTTGCTCCTCTGTCCCTCTGTCCACGGCAGCCTGAGTTCCCRGCACCCAGAATCCAGCCAACCTCTACTGCTAGCGCCTGCCCAAGCCCTGGGATCCTGGACCTTGGATCTTCTTCCCACAGGTCCACCTGGCTCCCCTCCACACCCCTGGGTGTCGACTTGCCTGTCACCTTCACAGAGGGGACTCCCTGGCCCCTATCTAAAACCACCCCACCCACCCTTGTCTGCACAACTGGCCGCCCCCACACCCCGCTGGCCTGTGAATCCCTCCTGCGCTGAATTCCCTGCACCCAGGACAGGCTTGGCACACAGTAGGTGCTCAGCAAACTCAGCTAGGTTCACTGTCAAATGAAACAAAGGAAAGCATCCGAGAAGTTCAAGAAGGACAAAGGGGGATGCCGACACGTCCGAGAGGTCCCGGGCTCCTTGCAGCCTGGGCCCTGGAGGGCCTGGGATCGACCCCACCCCACCCCCGCGAGCCTGGGCACCTGCTCCAAGAGGGACTCCCCACTCCTGTTTCAGAGGACAGGCCCGGCCCCAAGCCTGGGCACTTCAACCCCCCCGCGGCCTCCACGGACCTGGCTTTCCCACCTCCCGCCCGCTCCTCCCCTGGCCTCCCTCTCTTTCTTACTCTGGGGACTAAACCAGGGGCGCGCACCACTGGGCCGCCTCCCCCGCCCTTTGACATTTTGAACTTTGAGGCAGGGTCTCGCTCAGTTGCTTAGGGCCTTGTGGGAAGAAGGTCTTCTACCTAAAAAGCCGTTGTTCCTTATCTAACTGCGACTCCCYCAACCCCCTGGAGAAGTTAAATGACATTTTTTTCTTCGTGAAATGGATCCCATCCAGCCTGGTCTCCCTGTTTTGGACGCAGTGCACTTGGCTCCTGTGGCTGCAGCCCAGCTTTCGAATTGGGTCCTAAAGGGACCTTTTTTGTCCTATTAGATGGTGCTACCTGTGGCCTTTCAGCTTTGCGTCATCTCCAAATGTGACAAACAGCTTCTCGGTGGGACCTTGTGTCTAAAACTGCCACCACGGCCAAGGTCAGGCATCTGCAGCCAGGCGGAGCCTCCCGCTGGGGTTATTGTCATGCATGGTGGACAGAGGGAGGGGGAGCCAGCTGGTCAGCGGCCCTCGCTGGGCTTTTGTCCAAGCTCATTGACAACCCCAGGTGCCGGTAGCTGGTGGCTCCTGCCTGTCATCCTGTCATCCCAGCGGCTTGGGAGGCTGAGGCAGGAGGATCCTGAGTTCAAAGCCAGCCTCAGCAACAGCGAGGCCCTAAGCAACTCAGTGAGCCCCTGTCTCTAAATAAAATATAAAATAGGGATGGGGATGGGTCTCGGGGGGTGAGTGACCCTGAGTTCAATCCCTGGTGCCCCCCCGCAAAAAAAAGAAAGCCCAAGACTTCTCAGCAGAGTCCAGTCTCAGCCACACGGACGGACCACCTGCGCCATCCCACACCTCCCTGGGCCTCCCTGACCTGGCTTCGTGTCATTTCAAGCTGGTCCTTCGTCTGTGTCATGGGGGGGTTCCCTTCTTCTAGGGTGTCAGGGGTGTTCAGGGGACCAGGGCAGCAGTGGGGGTGCTGCTGGGTCCCTGGTGGTCTGCTCCCACCCCAGGTGGCCCAGGGTCACTCCCAGCTGTGCTCCTGGTACCCGGGGCAACCATTCCGCACGCAGCAGGTGGGAGGCAGACTCAGGGTGTCCCGGGGCTTGGCCTCCGCCTTAGCTCCTTGTGCTTCTCCCAGACTCTGAAACGGCGGCCACAAGCTGCCTCTTCCTCTCTCTCTCTTTTTTTTCCCTTTAATTTTTATTGTTGGTGACGATCGCGGTGTCGAGACTCGGTCCTCTCTCCACGCAGTGGCCCYGCCTGGGAACGCCAGCTGCGGGAGAGGATGGCGAAATGAAGCTTAATGAGTAGCCAGGGGACAGGCCAGGGTGGCTGGGTGGCAGGCCGAGGTGTCAGGGACGGCACTGGCTGACGAACATGGCCAGTGGCCCGGCCCACCCTGCCAGCCTCTCCTCACTGCAGCCGGAGCTTGGTCCCGGCCCCTGGGTCTGAGCCCTGGCTCTGCTGCTGTGTGACCTTGGGAAAGTGCCTGGGTCTCTGAGCCTGTTTCCTCCATGCCGGGTTCCCTGGGGTCCCCACTTCCCCAGGTCGTCATAAGTGTTCTGTGACAGAAGGACGCCACACTCCCAGACCTCAGGCATTCCCCCTTTGCAATCTGTGCCATATTGTCACGTCATCTCTTTCCTAGGGGTCATAATGACAGCAAAGAGCAGCAAGAACACCCAACCCCCAGCACCAGCCACTTCTCCAAAGGCTTCACAGACATTTGCTCATTGACTCTCCCATCAGCTCTCGTAGGAAAGGATTATTTCTATCCCCATCTTACAGCTGGGAAATCAAGGCACAGGGAGGTCAGGTGACTTGCTTGAGGTCACACAGCCAGGAAACAGCTGAGCTAGGTTTGTACCATGGCCTGGCTCTGGGGTCTTCGCCACACTGGGACATTCTTCTACGCTTAATACTTTATTTTTTTTTTTTTAAGGCAGGTGTGATGGCACATGTCTTTATTATTTTTTTTTTATTTTTATTTTTTTAGAGAGAGGGGAGAGAGGGAGAGGGAGGGGGAGAGAGAGAGAGAGAGAGAGAGAGATAAAGAGATTGCATTTAAACATTTTAACACCTCACTTCTCCCTAAGCATTAATATTCACAAAATTATGGGTTTGATATTATGTGTGTGCGCGCGCGCACACACACACACACACACACACACACACACACACAGTGTACATGTCTCCTAATGCACACAGAAGTAAACCCCCAACTATTTAAAAATCTCCGACTATTTAAAAGCTATTTCTGCTAGTCAGTATAAAAGGGCTGGTATACAGTAGGCATGAAATAAGTGTAGCTGTGCTTCCTATCTAAGCCCTAGCCGTGTGCTGGAGCCGACCTCCTCGGAGGCCCTCCCAGATCCCCCACCCCTGCTGCCCTCTGGTAAACCTCTGCCCTCTGACCTCCTGGGGTGTGACTGTCACGTATCAGGTGTCCCTCTCTCTCCCTGGTTTGACCACCTGGCAAGGACAGGACACCTGGCAAGGGTGGGGCGTGCTCAGTGTGAGGCTGGGGAGAAACTCGCCAGAGTCCTCATGGCGGGCGGCGGCCATCTAGACAGCGCCACTTGACGCCACGTGTCCAGGAGCTGATCCTCAACCCTGGGAGGTCATGCACGGTCCAGGGGGGACGCACAACACTGGGTCCTCCTGGGAGCTCGACTTTACAGACAGGGAAACTGAGGCCTAGGCGTGTGTGCGTGGCTCGGGTTCACCAGGGAGGTGGCAATGGAGACGTCAATCAGACCCAGTCACCTCCAGGCCTAACGCCCTCCGTGACTCCCCAGTGCCCCTGGGCAAGGTTGAGGTGCCCTGTCACTGGCTCAGACATCCCTGTGGCTCCTGCCCCGTCCATTGTCCCCAAGCCACTTGCTGCTCAGCCGCTGCCTTYTCCTCCAGGCAGGTCCCCTGCTCTGGGCTCCGCAGCCCCACTCACCTCCCAGCGGTCCCCATCCCTAGCAGAGATGACAATTCCTCTTTTGTGGCACCCAAAGGTGCTGTGACGACAGGGGACACCTTATCTTGTTTGAGGCTAAAGGTCCCAGGGATTGGCACAAAGTAGGTGTCCAATAAATATTTATTGAGTGAATGGATCAGTGGTCAGCCGCTCATTTGAGCAGTAACTGGGCCCCGGAGTTGGGTGTGAAGTCTCTGAGCCCCTCTCATGTGACAGATGACGGTTACCTCCTTGTCCCTGCTTTCCTGTTTCCATGGAAGGGGTTTGGCCTGGGATGAGCCCTGGGCTGGGAGGGAGATTGGGAGAAGTCTCTCACGGGAGGGGGTCTAGCATCTCTGCCCCTCGCTAGCTGGGCTTCCACAGCCAAGTGAGTGTCCCTCTCTGAGCCTCCCTTTGTTCCTCCATCTGACAGGGGAAATGCACATGGGGAGGCTGGGGCGGCTGTGAGCCTCGACCCCCCCTGCTTTCCGCCTCCGTCCCAGGCAGCCTTGGGTGAGAGCTGCCCCTTTAACACAGGAGGCGGGGCCAGGGCCAGGGAGGCTGGCAGAGGCTGGCAGGGGCAGCAGGGGCTGGCCGGCAGCAGCCAGGGCCCAGCTGGCTGGGGGACAGCTCAGGTAGGTGAGGAGCYGGGAGCAGCAGTGTTGCTGGGGCCCGGGGTGTGCGTGTGAGTGGGGGGTCCTGGTCGGGGGCCAAGGTCAGCTGGGTGGACGGGCAGAGGGAGCAGTGAGGTCAGAGCCCTCCCTGGGGACGTGCGTCCGCTCAGGGTGCCCTGCAGGGGACCCTGGGCCTGGAGCAGGTCCTGCTGGACAGAGGGCAGGGCTGGGCACCCCGCCAGGGACCAGCCCCAGGCTCCACAGGGATTCACTGTGGAGGGCCACCCAGGTAGCCCTCGGGGACAAGGCATGGAAAGCAAGGGCCCCTTACCCCAGTTCACGGGAGACCATGAGGCCCGTGAGAAGGGACAGCCGGGCCCTGCATTGCTGGGATCTGGTCCCCAGCCCTGAGTCCCCACTGCCTGTCCCACGGGGAGCAGGCCCAGGCTGCCACCTCAGTCCTGGTGGCTGCCACTCTGGCAAGCACTGCGTGTCCCTGGGCCAAGGCCTCGGTCCGCCTAGCCCTAAGGGACCAACCTGGCCTTGATAAGGCTGCTGGCCTTTAACTGATGCCTGCTGTCTCTGGGGGGATGGTTGCTATAACGAAGGGGGCTGGAGACACGTGGGGACCCAGCTGGGGGCACTTGATGCCTGAAGAAGGTGGCAGTTATGTATCAGATGCCCACACCCTTCATCGTGGCCATGCTAACAAGCAGGGGACAAGCAGGGGACAAGCAGGGGACACAGCCCACACTTCCTAGCTGGATGACCTTCGCAGCTGTGTGACCTTGGAGGCGACCCCTCTGGGCCTCATGGGCTAGTAAATGGCCTCAGTGCTATGTGAGCGTCAGATAAGAGGAGACATAGGGTGCCTGGCAGAGTGCCCAGCGCCCAGCAAGTCCTCGAGGCTGTCGGGCCAAAGTCYGCACCCTCAGCACATGGCCTGGCTCCATCCTGCCACCACCCTGGGACACACAGCTCCTCTCGCCCGTGGTACGGCCAGTTTGCTGTCGCTTTCYGGGTCTTAGTGTCATGTCCCACCTCCTGCAGGTCTTTCCTGGCCTGCACACCCAAAACAGGTCCCCTTGATCTTTATTCACGCCTACCTGCCTGTGTTTCCGCACGCGGCAGTTTCCACCATTTCTGGTCATTTTGTTGGTCTGTGCTGATATTTGTTGCATGCTGTTCTCCTCATCAGACGCTCAGTCAGCTCTGAAGTGGACGCCTGCCTGCATCACTGTGCTGTCCCCAGTTCCTGGGTCAAGGCCTGCACCTTGTGGGTGCTTTAGAGACAGGATAGAGTGAGGGTGAGTGTGCTGGCATTGCTAAAAGGCCCCAGTGAGCTAATACCCCAGAGAACCCGGCYACTGTCTGCCACCTACTAGGAATTCGACCACTGGTAGCTGTCATCACTATTCACGCACACCACAGCCTGAGAATTGGGGACTGTATTTATCTCCATTGACAGAAGGGGAAACAGGCACAGAGAGCTCAAGACACTCGCCTGGGTCACACAGCCAAGGAACTCAGAGCTGGTTTCTAACTTTGATCCTAACGCCCAGGCTTTTGGGCTCCAGAATTGGGGTGAGGTTGTGGAGAGGCTCGGACTTCGCCCTGCCTTGTGGGGCGGGGGTGGGGACGGTAAGGAGGTGCCAAGGGCACAGGGTCAGATGAAGTGCCAGGAAACCTGGTCTTCTCTGCCCTGCGGCCCTTGGAGACTAAGTGCAGACGCCAAGTCGGGCTTGGGTGGTGTGGGGGTGTGGTGCCCCCTGGTGGCCACCGTGGAGCAGGGTCCTCCAGGGGCTGTTCCTTCCCTGCCCATCCTCCCACCTGCTCCGGACCTTGTCACTCGTTCCCTCTGCAGAAATGCTCTCCCCGTGGTCGTGGTCCCCTCTGYCATCCCTCCCAAGCCCCCCTGTGACGACCTACGGGTCAGAACAGAGTTCGAGGCCTCGCCCTCTGGGTGGAGTCCGGCCCCTGGGGAGGAGGCTGGYCCAGTCCCAGCCACCCCCTCCACTCCTCTTCACCCCAGCCTGCCAGAGCGGGTGACAAAGAAAAATTTAGAAATTAAACCTTTAAATCCCTCGACCAGCCATGAAACCAAGCAGCGGTTTCATGGTTAGAATTTAATGAGATGCTTGGAATTTCCTTCTTTTCTTTTTAATTCTTAAAATGYTCGCAGCCCTGGGGATTGAACCCAGGGGCGCTCTATCCCCGCGCCACACCCCCAGCCCTTTTTGTTTTATTTTGAGACAGGGTCTCGCTAAGTTGCTGAGGCTGGCCTCAAACTTTCCATCCTCCTGCCTCAGCCTCCCAAGTAGGTGGGATAACAGGCGTGAGCTACACAACCTGGCTTTTTAAAAGTAGCACCATTGGACATAATTTACATCAAATCAATCATCTCACTCTAAGTAAAGGAGTGCAATAAGTTTGGACAAATGTATACAGTGGTGAAACCATGTACTTTTTTTTTTAAGTCAGTGCTTTTAGGGACACATGCTGACATGTTTACGGATGTGATAATCGGGGGAATAATGGTCATGACAATAATGGAGAAAATAAGAATTCAGGAAGCAGGAGAGACAGACATGAGGGTGCAGGCCTTGGGTCCACGTTCACTGAGGCCATGTGAACCACATGGCCACAAGGGGTCGCAACCTGGTTCTGGATGCCACTGGACCCCCAGGGGTCGCTCCTGTGTGGACTCCTGTGATTGCGTCTGCCCACCTGGACAGCGAGGTCTGGCCTCTGCCCGGCACGTTGTAGGTGCTCAGTGTCCCGAGGGAACTGGGATGAACTCATTCCTCATGAGGGCTCACACCCTGCCTCCTCCACTTCCAGCATGAAGGGCGCCCCGTCAGGCCTCCTGGGCAGAGGGGAGGGAGGCTGAGGCCCAGAGAGGGGCAGGCACTTGCCTGGGGTCTCCCAGCTCGGCAGCCAGCGGGGCTCAGCCTCCCTGCCTCTTGCCTGGAGCCCTGAGGACCGTGTGCCCCTGCAGGGCCAACCCCCTGGTGGCTGGGATGGAGGGCGCCCCGGCTGGCCACTTCCACACGACCACGCCTCTGCTGGAGAGCTGGGCGCTATCCCGGGAGGCGGGCGTGAAGGTCCTCCTCAAGTGTGACAACATGCAGCCGGCCGGCTCCTTCAAGATCCGGGGCATCGGGCACTTCTGCCAGCAGGTGAGGGCGTGTGGGTGGGGTGGGGGGGGGCGGCCAGCTGCCCTGCACTGGCCTCAAGGCCGCCTGCCTGGGCTAGCCCCTGACGCCATTCCTTCTCTCCCCAGATGGCCAAGAGGGGGTGCAAACACCTGGTGTGCTCCTCAGGTGACCTCACCCCTTTCTGCTTTGTGGGGATGCTCCAGGCAGGGCTGGGGAGGCGAATCTGCCTGGGGTGGCTGTAGACGTCCAGGGCTTGGCCTCCTTATCAGGGTCAAATCTCAGGCAGCCATCTCTTATGTCCTCTCCTGGGCTTCTTCCCAGAATCGGGGACTCAGGGTGGTAGCACCAGGTATAAGCTGTAGGTTCCAAGAACTGAAAATCCTCAGGCTCTGTGGCTTTCAGGCCCAGCTGGATCCAGGTGGTCTCTTCTGCGGTTCTTCCTTTCCTATTTCTTTCTCTCCTCTACCTCGATCTTACCCAGGCCTCACAACAGCAAGATGTCTGCAGAGGGACCTGCTGTCCTGCTATCTCCTGACTCGAATGAAGAGAAAAACGTCTCCGCAGCCTTAGAATTCCTCTTTGTGGCCCAGCCTGGGCCACTACTCATCCCTAAGCCAGTCGTGGGTCGAGAGGTCAAGTTCTCCGATTGGCTCAGTTTAGATCAGGTGTCCACCTCTGCAGCCAGGGGACGAGTCAGTGGGGGGCATAAGCGAGACTCCCAAGGGGTGGAGGGAGAGCTGGGGGTGTCAACAGGCCCAGGCCGCTCTGCACATGTCACCCCTTCTCTGACCCCAGGGGGCAACGCGGGCATCGCTGCCGCTTACTCTGCTCGGAAGCTTGGCATCCCAGCCACCATCGTGCTCCCCGAGACCACGTCCCTGCAGGTGGTGACGAGGCTGCGGGGACAGGGGGCCGAGGTGCAGCTGGCTGGAAAGGTGAGGACCCAGGGAGGACAGCAGCCACGGGGACGTCCCCACCCCTCTTGCTCCTAGGGGAGATGCCTCCTAGGTCGCCTCTCAGGACGGCTGAGCTGAGGGGGGAGAGGGGGGTATTGTACCACTGAGGGCCGGGACCCACTCGCCTCTCCTTGTCCTCAAAACACCTCCTCTGGGTGACCCATCTCTCCAGCCATCCTTCCATTAAGTAGCTTCTCACCTCCCTCTCTCCCTCTGGGGCCTCCCACCTACTCATGGACTCATTCACCCATCCACCCATCCACCCACCCATCCATCCACCCATCCACCCATCCACCCACCCATCCA